TAGGACAAGTTAAATTATCATTATTGGCAAATGACATGATACTCTACAAAAAGACCCCCAAAACTCCACCAAAAGACTTCTAGATTTAATAAGCAAATTTAGTTGCATAGCCAGACTCAAAGCCAATGCTCAAAAATCAATAGTCTTCTGGTATATGAATAACTGAGAAATTATGAAAACAACACCTTTTGTAATAGTAGCCAATCTCTACATTAAAAACTACAGTACACTGAAAAAAGACTAAAGAAGTTATCAGAAAAAGCAATGATCTCTCTTGCTCTTGGGTAAGAAGAGTCAATAAAGTGAAAATGGCCATAGTTTCAAAATTGTTATACAGATTTAATGCAATTCCCATCAAAATTCCAATAACATAGCTCACAGAATTAGAGAAAATAATTTCTAAAATAGAACCAGAAAAACCCTAGAATAGCAAAGGCAATTCTGGGCAAGAAAGGCAAGGCAGGGGCATGAAAATCCCGGACTTCAAATTATACTACAAAGCTACTGTGATAAAAACAGCATGGTAGGCCAGGATACAGCTCAATGACACAAGTGCCTGCCTGGCAAGCATGAGGTCCTGAGTTTGATTACTGATACAAACTGCCCCAAACTCAAAGCAAACAAACAAAAAACAAGAAACCTACAGGATAGTACTGGCAAAAAAACAGACCCAAGGATCAATGAAACAGATTAGAAGATGTAAGAACATACTTAGCCACCTTACCTTGACAAAGGTGCCAAACACATTCACTGGAAGAAAGTCTCTTTAGTAAATGGTACAAGAAAAAACTGGCTTCCCACATGCCAAGGATTAAAATTAGATCTATATCTTATACCATGCACTAAAGTCCAAATGGATCAATGGTCTAAATATTAAGACAGAAATACTAAATCTATAGAATTCTGGAAGACACTTATATAGGCAAAGAATTTATGAGCAAAACTTCAACCACATAGGAACTATCACAAAGAATTAACAACTGTGATTTCATTAAAAAGCCTTTCTATAGCAAGAGAAGCTAGCAGCAAATTGAAGAAATGACCTACATTGTGGGAAAAAAAAATTGGTACCTATTGCTCAGATGAAGGACTACTATCTAGAAAATATAAAGATCTCAAAAAAAATCAAACTCCCAAAATTTAAACACTCAATCCATGGGCAATAGAAATAGACACTTCTCAGATAAAGAAATAGATACAGCAAATATATGAAAAAGTGCTGAATAGGATTGGTCATTCAAGAAGTGCATATTAAAACACTGAGATTCCATCACATTCCAGAAAGAATATCTATTGTCAATAAATAAACAAATAAAAAAATGATGGAGAGGCTGTGAGAAGGAGTGTAGATTGGTTCAACCACTATAGAAATCAGTAGAGAGTTATCAAAAAACTAGGACTAGAGGTTCCATTTCACCCAGCTATCCTCCTCTTGGTATCTTCCCGAAATAATTAAAAACATCAAACATACCACAACAATATATGCATACTCAAGTTTATAATGGCCCAGAGTATAATAACTAATCTTGGAAATGGCCTAAATGCCCATCAACTGATAAATGGGTAAAGAAGATGTGGATTTTTAAAATATAATGGAATACTACTCTGCCGTAAAGAATAAGCTTGAGTCATTTCTAGCTAAATGGATACACCTTGAGGCAATACTGTTTTGCTTTGTTTGGTACCAGCAATTGAACTTATAACTTCATACCTGCCAGGCAGATGCTGCGCTGCTGAGCTATATCCCTGGCCCTCCTAGCTCTGTTCAGTGAGGTAAATCAGATACACATGTGTAAATCCTGTATTGTTTCTCTACTGAGAAACAAAAAGTGTAAATAAGGACCAAAATGTATTTAATAGGCCTTGGGAAATAGGAAGCCAATGTTCAAATGGGAATGGGAACTAGGGAGCGGGAAGTGAACTAGAAGGAAAGGAAAAGAAAAAACAGATTGTGTGAAAAAGAAGGAAAACAATGGAAACAAAGCTTTTGTAAATAAGGAAGAGGGATTGAAAGAAGGGTAGGAGAATAGGGGAAAAAATGAGATTGAAGTTGTATCTTATACAGGTAAATTCCCTATAATGAACATGATTATGTATATCTAAAATGTACCAATAAACTTAATTAAAAAAAAAACAGTATTTTATAAAATAGGCACTCAGAAGCTTTTTAAAAAGAAAAAGCTACCTGGCAAGTGTGAGGTTGTACATTCTGTCCCCAGTACCAAAAATAAAAATAAAAATAAAAATAAAAAAATAAAAAGAGATATATGACTTCAAAAGAAAAGATGTATGCTGCATACGGTGGCACACACTTTTACTGTCACCTGCTCCACAGGCTGACACAAGAGGAATGAGTTCAAGGCCAGCCTAGGCTACACAATGAGATCCTGTGCCCAAAACACTTATAGCAGATGTGAGGCCCTAGATTCCATCCCTGACACTGCACCAGGGGGTTGGGTAGGGAGAAGGGGACATGTTGGTCATTTAAAATCTTGAAATGATTTTGGGGAAAATGAACAACTGCAGTGGCTTTGCTTCTCTAACGTGTATTAAACCAACAGCCCACATATCAAGAGATCTCTGATATACAAGGGTGTATTGAGCTGTTGTAGATAAAGTCAGGGAAACGATCAGGTTTTGGGCTAAGTTTCCATAACCACCACAGCAAGGCTAGGTAACAATTAAAAACGCCAATTACCTAAGAACAAAGAGTAGTTTTATAATGAAAATGTGAGGAGGAAAACAGAAGCTCCTTAACCCTACACTGGCTTTTAGATTTGAGGTTTGGGAGGGCAGCCAATAAAAAATTAGCTCTATATGTAACAAGAGGTGGGGCCCTGGTGGTCTTCTGCAATGTAAGCAGAGCAACAGTGTTAAAATAAGTAATCTGAAACAGTTACTTTGACCTGAAGAGGATGACTTCTTAGCTTATCTCTTCCTTTCTTTGGTCCTTGTGATTAAATTTAGGATATCTGAAAATTTTTCTTTGATGGAGAGCACCTGTTTACACAATGGAATTAGAAGGAAAGAAGAAAAATCAAGCACTAGAGTGAGGGTAAAATTCTCTCTGGTTATCTTGCTGCAGTATCACGTGAAGGTATTCAGTAAAATGTTCAACTCACTTTGAAAAAAGTATCAAGATATTTGCTTTTACTTTTTGAAGTCTATTTTTATGAAAGTTAAGTCTAGATCATTCTGCTTCTGTTTCCTGAGGTCGTTTCCCTGACTTTTCCTGTCTATGCCATAGGCATAGAGCACCATGGCTGGCTTTTGTTTCTTTTTGGGTTTTTTGTTTTGCTTTGTTTTGTTTTTGAGATTGGGGCTCACAATGTAGTCTATCTGGCCTTTAACTTAGGACAATCCTCCTGTTTCAGCCTCGAGAGTGCTGGGACTCCAGCATATGCCACACTGCCCACCTGGCTTCTGTTTCTTGGTCTTATAGTTTCTTGACACAGGCTTAACCTTTACATTTCAACTGAAAGATACAGACCTAAAAAAGTCCCCCAGAACTGTTCAAATCAGGTCCTCCCTGTACGTAAGTCTTTATAACTCTGTATCTTGAATGTTATCCCATTCTTTTCACAGAGTCCTATATTTGTATAGAGATTCTGGTATTTTAACAGAGAAGAAAAAAAAAGAATAGGAAATTGGGACATTTAGGGGAAAAGATGTGGGAATCAGACTGCTGGATTCAAATCTTGACTCCATCATGTAACTAGCAATAACCATAAGTTTACTGTGTGTCACAGTTTCATCATTTGTAGTATTGGATAACAGTAACACCTACCTTAAAGGGCATGTGAGAAGAGACCATACATGTGCAGAGATGAGAACAATGCCTAGTATATATAAATGTATATGCTTTCTGTATAAGTATCTGTCTTATAATGTATAAGTGTCTTTCTGTTGTTTGAGACAGGGTCTTCTATGTAGTACAGGCTGGCTTTGAACGCACTGCGATCCTCCTGCCTCAGTCTTCCAAGTGTTGGTATTACAGGTGTATACCACCATGTCCATGTCCATGTCTTTAAGTGTTATAGTAGCAGCATTACTATTGTTTTGATTCAACATGATTATTCAAAATTCTGCACACATTTACCCAGAAACATTTTTAATAATGATTTCTAATAGCAAAATAAGTTTAAAGTAAGTCCTCTTGCACTTCAACTGTTCAATACCCATCTATGGTAAGAAGAAAAAAAACTATTTGAGATAAATATGCTTAATTCTTGGGATTTAGAAAGGATATTACATTTATGCCAGAATGTATTTAATTCAAGAAAATTAGGAATGATAGCATTTTGCTTTTATTTTTTTGTCCCATAATACAGTTGCTCAATTTATTTAAACAGCAAAATAAATGAGCCTCAAATTCTTTCTATCCTTTCTCAACTCTCAGCTTTGACTAATATCCATTATCATTTTTATATTTCCAGTCTTCTCGATATCTAAGCTTTCTATGAAAACAGAGAACAGTTTAAAAGCACTTCGAAAGCCATAAGCATTGAAACACTGGCTTTTACTGTCTTTCTTTGCTAAATGGGAAACAATTTATTGTACACTTGTTAACAGTAGTGACTGAAATATTTGCTTCATCACTTTATACTAGACAGCAGAATTACATTTAGTTCCTAGTAATACGGAAGGAAATTATAAAGAGTTGTAAAATGAATGATAAATACTGAAAAACCATTAAATGTGAGGCTATATCTGTATATTATAGTACATGGAAAGCTACTTATATTACCAAGTTAAGAAACTGAAATAGCAGGACCAGAGATTTAGCTCAGCAGCATAAGTGCCTGCCTGGCAAGCATGTGGTCATGAGTTTGATCCTGGCACCGGAAAAAAAAAAAAAAAAAGGAAAGAAAGAAATTGCATGTAGAATCTTAACATAGAGTACAGGTTTAAGTACAGAAAAATAACTAACATATATGTTAAAACATGAACATTAGTATTTTTCTTTGTTATATCAAGTATCTTGTACCACGAATACTTACTTCACAACTTTGCCATACTTGGAAAATATCTGAAACAAAAGACCATACAATAATGTATAATTCGAAATACACATTTTCAGGCTGCATGTACTGATCAAATTCTTTGCTATAGATTATGAACAATTTTGACCTTCAGTCTATTAAAAGGATTGTACAAGAAATATTTAAACTACAACAATTAGATAACTACTTTTGTACATGCAACTCCCATAAAAAAAAACACTATGTGCAGGAGATGGCAGGGAGACACACTGGATAGCTGTTTCTGTGTTATGTCCACGGCAACTACCAACTCACCACATTTCCAGGTACCTTTGTGCTTAAGTATTAAGCTTCTGGAGTATTATTGTTATTTTTCTGCACCCACAAAGCAGTCACTGTTAAAGCAGATAAACCTTAGGCTTCTTATAAAGTAAATGTTTTTGTAATGGAAAACATATTTGCAGAGTCTCCATTTTCTCCCCTTATTAATATGTCAGTGGTAGTCTGCAGCGGCCCTATCTTCCCTTCTATGTCTGTACCCTAAGCAACTCAATTTGTAAAGTTCCAGTCAGTACCTGTCTACTTATAGTTCCTATTTATAAATTTCTTAAAAGTCTTTAAGAATATTTCTATCATGTAAAAATACACAACCAATATTAAACAAAATTTTGCATTCTCTGATGAGTTGCATAGAGCCACCATGCTGCACAACTGAATGGTAGTACTGGCACCAGTAGCCTATGAGAGTCTGTAAGCTTCCTACCTAACCCTTTCTCAGTGACTTCTCACTTCATTCCCAGTGAACTGAACCATTTCTTGGACTAAAAATAAAATGTATTAAACTGTTAAGCTTCTCCCCTGTATGAAAAGTAAAACACTCATGCTCTGAGGGTTAGGAAAGGCAACTGTTCACTTTCAGCAGTTTTTATCCAAAATCCCTATCCTATTACCAGTTTCAAAAGTCAGCTGAGCCAGGTGTCCTGGTGTAAGCTAGTCATCCCAGATGAAGCTGAGACAAGAAGATCACCAATTTGAGTCTAACCTGGGCAATTTAGCAATTTAACAAAATTTGTCTCTGTAAATATACAATAAATAACAAAAGGCTGGATTGAGGTGTGGTGGCACACATCTATAATCCCAACACTTTGGATGTTGAGACACAAGGATTGCTATCATTTTGAGGTCATCCTGGGCTACATACTGAGTTTAAAGACAGCTGAAACTACATAGGAGAATCCTGTTTCAACCAAGAAAGAAAGAAAATAGAAGGAAAGAAAGGTAGGCGCTAGACAGATTGACTGAAGATGTAGTTCCACGTGAAGTCCCTCCATTCAATTCATAGTACTAGTCTCCTGCACTCCCAAAAGGCTTTAAATTTTCTCTGAAAATTACAAGTTTTAATTTTTTTCAATTATGTTTGCAAAAGATATGGATTAAGTGCACCATAATGTATTCATTTAGGTGTTTCCCAGGGAGAACTAGAGGGGCAAGATACATTGCATCTCAAATATAGTTCAATACATAAATGTGTGAACATTAAAACTTACCCGGTATAAGTCATTGTTTGTCAGGGAGAAAGGCAAATTGGACACATACACTGTGCTCTTACTTGGAGCCAAGCCACCACTCATTTCTAAAACAGAAAACAAACCAACACATGAGCACTCTAAACAAGGTAATCCTCATTCCATGTCAAACCAAATAAAAAGTTAATCCCTGATTCAATGATAACGATTCACAAACCTTCCTTACATTTTAAGCAGTTAGAATGACTCCATCTGGGTGAATTAAGACTCCCCCTTTTGCCAGCCACTACCCAAGAGATGCAGGCCTCTTTTCAAAGAGTTTCTTTAACCCTGTCAGTGCTGGCTGGCTGTGTCAAGGGAAAGGAGGGACTTAAAAAATAAATAATGGAGAAAACGGAAGCTATTCTTAACCTCCTTCAGAGATACTCAACCATAAAGAAGGATAAACTAGAGACTATTACAGGTAAATGGATGTAACTTGAGACCATATTCAATGAAATAAGACCCATGTGCAAACATCATATTGTCTCAGTGTAAGAAGCTGAAACAACATATGTGTATGTATATGTTTACAAAAATAGTTAAGATAGTTATACTACTGATTTCTCTGAGTTCACTGAAGAGAACAATTTGTGCTGATACAGTTCGGGCAATAGAATGCAGATGTCTTGTGCTCTGGGTGAATGATTTGGGAACGACAATGCGCAATGTATGTACCACTGATGCCCAGTGATTAATGTGTTTTGAAATTCTGTTTTAGTTTTTTCTTTTTCTCCTTGAAATAAAATGGATTTGGAAAATAAAATCACTCCAGAGGAAAATAGTAAGACAATGTAAAGTCCTTTGGAATCTTTAATTATTGCCCAAATTGTGAAAGGATACAGTTGATTTTATATACATTCAGCACAATGAAGGAATGCTGGCTAGAAAAATTGATTAATCGAACGATAGATAGATATCTTGTACTTTATTTTGACGCCTTATTTTACAAACTAAATTACCCATAAAAATTATCATTTGTAATCCCAGCACTCGAGAGGCTGAGGCAGGAAGATCACTGGGAGTCCGGGACCAGCCTAGGTTACAAAGTTAGCTCAAAGTTACAAAGTGAACTGCATAGTGCGACCCTGTCTCAAAAAGACAAACTAAAATAGTCAAGTTTTGCACCACTGGGAACAGAACCCAGGAATGCTCTACCACGGAGCTACACTCCAGCCTCTTTTTTTAAAAAGCTTAAAGAGGTTTAGCCAAGTTCAAGGTCTGTCCTCAAAGTCTACTGCCTTTTGCCTCAGCCTCATTTCTGGGGTTCCAGGCGCGCACCTGGCCTCGCTGCACCTGTGAAGCCTACATCGGATCAATTCCGCTCAAAAGTGCGCAGTAAATCGCGGGTGTGGAGTGCATCTTTGGGGGAGGAAACGGTGGCAAACTGCAGAATCCGGGGCAGAGTTGCGCCGACTCGCGAGGGAATGGAAAGACTGTTTGATGGTTGGTGACTGAGGCGAATCATCCCTCGCTGTAGAAAGGCTCCAGTCAGAGACTGCAGTAGTTAAGACTTTTGGAGAGAAATACGCCGCAGGCAACGGTTGAGGTCCCAGACTAAAAGGCTGATGGGAGGCAAGAGGAACCGTTTGGGCTGCGGGGTCGGACAAGGCCGCAGGGAAGGAGACGTTTACCTTCAGGCAGGGCGGCCCGGAGCGCAGCTGGGGATCAACCCCGACTCTTCCTCACCCTCGCAGCAGCTTCTTCATCACACGCCCGCGCGGAGTCGACACAGAGACCGCGAGGTCGCAGGGCAGCTGAAAGGACCTTTGGTGGCTTCCTTTAGTCCGGCCGCAGGGCGGGCGCGCTTGGTGACGTCACTGCGTGCGCCGGAAGTGCCTCCTTGGATTGCGGTAGCGGTGGTGGCGGTGTTTGGGTAGGTTGTGCTGAGTTTGCTGGCCGTCCGGGTCCTCCGGAGTCGGTAAGAGCGCTTTACTTTCCTGAGAGGTAAAGGGACTGGCGAGTGGGCTGGAACATTCTGGGGGAGCGGAAGCGCGCTTTCTGTACCCGAAGCACAGTATTCTGCGTTTGAGTCAAGTGGCAATTCTGCGGTCCAGAGTGGAGAGACTGAGTTTTGGTAAAAAGGAAGGCGTGGCTTGCAAGATATCTTTGCTTCCCAGCACTTTATTAGGCAAAAGGAACAGTGTGCTAGGTATTTGAAGGGACTCAAGGTCAGAAAGTCAGTAAAATTATTGAATGTGTTCACCTATCGAGCTTGGTATTAGGCACGTTGAGAGACGCCTCCCCTCCCCCAAAATAAAAGTGCCAGATAGACCTCTTTGTGGCGGAGATTACTGGTTGGGGAGATAAGGCCAACTTCGGGGGAGTTGGATATTGCATGGACCAATATTGGATTTCTTGACCTCTTGTTTCTTTTTGTAAATCTACAATGGGCACATGCTGCAGTTTGTCTAAGAGGCTGTAAGGGGCCTTTAGTCTCACCCAGAAATCAGAACATAAGGCAAGGTGGGTTATACTTCTACCCACTAGGTCGTAGCGACCAAGCCCTAACTCCGTGTCAGCCTGCGGGCCAGCAGCTTGCGTTGGAGCCTGCTCAATACAGACTAAAGCGTCAGATGCCTTCCCGAGAGAGTGAACTGCAAATGCATCCAGGGCACAGCTGAAGTTCGAGAGGCTTCAGTGCCTCGGTGCTCGTCAAAGGACCGTGCTTCACATATCTATTCCCCGCCCTCCCTCCAAGTTGTAAGCAAGCCTCTTTTGTTTGCCCTGTACCTTTATGCCCGTGCTGTTTCACTCTTTTTTGGGCTATTGCTACTTTTGCTTCCGTCCCCCAAATCACTCCATTATCTCAACAATGCTTCTGAAACTTCTCTTTGCTCAAAGTCTTCCATACTGAATTTCTCTGACCTTAACAAGTAACATCGTTTTTGTTGATAACCCTTTCAACTGTGCCGATTCAGTGACACTTGCACTTGAGGTTAGTTATGTCTTCACTTTTTGCAGGGTAGGTGGGGGATATCCAGAATCGAGCTGCGGACTTTGAGCTTGTGATGTAGCAGGTAGGCAGGCAGGTGCTTGTGCTATATCCCCAGCCTCTGGCTTCATTTTCTTTTTCTTTTCTTTTTTTTTTTTTTTTTCCTTTTGGAGACAGGAGCTCAGTATGCAGTCCAGGCCAGCCTTGAGCTCACTTTGTAGCCTAGCCTGGTCTCGAACTCTCAATGATCCTCCTGCCTTAGCCTCCCGAGTGCTGGTATTACAGGCGTGAGCCACCATGCCCGACTCCCTGACTTCATTTTTCTTGCAATACTTTTTTTTCTTTTTGAGACAGGGTCTGGCTATGTAGATGAGGGTGGCCTTGAATTCATGGCAAAGTCTCCTGAGTGGAATTGGAGGTATGCGCCACCACGCCAGGTAGAATACTCTTGTCCAGTGTATTTGCAGATTCTTTTCTGTGTCTGAGACACTTGTTTCCCTCTTTGGGGGTAATTATTTCATGTGTGTTTGAGACAGAGTCTCCCTATACAATTCAAGCTGGTCTAGAGCTCACTTTGTAGCCTGGGCTGGTCTCAAACTCCCAATGATCCTCCTGCCTCAGCCTCCTGAGTGCTGGGATTTCAGGTGTGTACCACCATACCTGGCTTGGATAATTACTATTCTTTTTTTTTTGAAAAGAATAAAACCAAATGAGAAAAGAAAAAAAAATGACATCATTCAAAACAAAAGGATGGACATAGTACATAATTTAAAACCACAATACAAGGTGATCTACAATGGTTACCCTGTCTCTTGTTATCGTCAATAGAATTGCCCATATCATCAGGTACAATAAAATTGAATGTAGCAGTAAGGAATAAAATCAATACAAACAAAACATTGGAGACGTTATAAGACTTCAAAAGAGGGTAATAGTCAAACCAGAATGGGTAGCGCAGTGAATCTTACTGTGTTTGGGGTAGTTGCCTATACTCTCAGACTTGATACTATCAAATATAACAGATTAGAATAAAATCAGTCAAGACAAGACAGTGATTCAACAAGACAGATTCAAATAACACTAGTCAAAACAAGGCAGTGAAAGCAATACAGGGTTTCAGATTAAGTTGAAAGGAAATTAAAAATGTTTACTGTAGTATATCCTGCTATCTTTGGAACAGGTGTCTATGCCCTCAAATCTAGTACAAATAGACAAACAGAATATAACCAAAATAACAGAGCCATGAAAGCAATATAAGTTTCAAGTCATGATACAAGATTATCAATGTCCTCTGCCTTACCTATTTAGACAGTTCCTCCCCATTCAGCTCCCAGAGTGCATTGTACATTTTTGTATCCCATTAACTCCTTTAGTTTTTAGATTAGGGAAGCAACCTGCTGTTTACCTAAGTGGTTGTGAACCTTTTTACTCCTGAGCTTATCTCAGGTTGTATCCAGTTACCTATAAGAGCCTCAAGATTTTCCTTCCTTATAGCTGAGTGGTTCTCCATTATATAAAAGTGTCTTTCCAAACAATCTGCAGCTGATTGGCTAGCTACCCCAACTTTTTTCTGGTTTCCTGTCACATAGAGCATTATTTTCTCTCTCTCTTTTTTTTTTTTTTTTTTTTTTTTTTTTTTTGTCTTTTTCATTTTTATCAGTACCAGGGATCGAACTCATGACTGCCTGCTTGCAAGGCAGGCGCTTATGCTGCCAAGCTAAATCCCCAGCCCCTATTTTCTCATCTTTGACTTTCAATCCATAAATCCTTTTTCAGGTTAAATATATTTCATATATAGAGCATCTTGCCAGACTCTATCTCCTGATCCACTCTGCCTGTGTTTCTTTTTATTAGTGAATTGAGGCCATCCATGTTAGTGATTATGTCCAATGTTCTCTGCCATGCTATTTTTCTGTCATTGGTTGTCTACTTTTCCCCTTCATTCCACTGTCTGCCCTATTCAGTGAGCCTCCTCTGTCGCTGTTCTTAAAACCATGTTTTTTTTTTTTTTTTCTCTCTAGAATGTCCTTCAGTACTTTTTGTAGGGTTGGATTAGTGGTCATGATCTTCCCCAGTTCCTCTCTATGATGGAAGCATCTTGTTTCTCCATTAATTTTGAGGGATAGTTTTGCAGGGTGCATCAATCTGGATTGGAGGTTATTTTCTTTCAGGGTTTGGAATACTTTGCTCCAAGCTCTTCTTGATTTGATGGTTTGTGTCGAGAAATCTGTTGTGATTTTGATGAGTTTTCTTTTATAGGTGATCTGTTTCTTTTTTCTGATAGCTTTTAATATTCTCTTGTGTTGTATTTCTGGGATTTTGATTATTATATGTCTGGGTGTAGATCTGTTTTGGTTGTAGCTGGTTGGAATTCTGTATGCCTCATATATCTGAATATTACTTCCTTTTCCTATGCTTGGGAAGTTTCTTTTAATTATTTCTGTAAATGCGTTTGTATTTCATTTGTATTTACCCCTGCTTCTTCACTCACGTTTTTTATTCTTAAGTTATAGATCTTCTTGTCATCTTCTAGCCTTTGTATTGTTACTTCCTGGTTCCGTGTTATTTTTAAGAGATCTTTCGTTTTGTAATCACATGTTGCAAACCTGCTTCAAGATTTGATAGTCTATCTTTAGTTTCTTTCTAGCAGTTTTGCCAGCTCTCAATGGAGTTTTTAATTTCCTAGTAATCTCTTTGAATCTGTTTCATGTATTTTAGATTTTTTAAATATTCTTCATCAAAAGTTTCTCTCCTTTTTCTATGCCCCTCCATTCTTCCATATGTGCCTTCTTGAGAGGTACTTAGCATTTCTTTTAGTATTTTTCTTATGTCTTCCTTTACTGTATTAGAATATCTGTTTTTAGTTCTTTTATAATGTAATGAAAAATTCTTTATGTCAGATGCTGCTTTTTCAGGTACCACAGGTGTGCAACCCCCAGTTTCTTCTGTGTTTATCTCTCCTGGGCCAGTATTGTTTGGGTTGGGGGTTGGAGACTTCCTTTTATTTCTTCCTCTTGTCATGTTTCTAGTTCCTTCCAGAGGAGTGGATAGTTGGGATCCTTGGCACTTCTTGTATTGGCTAAGATTACTCTGAAATGTGCTGACTAGGGATTGCAGCCCTGCCATCTGTTGATGACCCCTGATGTACAAGCAGGGGCGGGGCAAGCTGGCCCCTCCCTTCTGAACTGGTCAAGCTCTGGGAGTCTTCACCACATTAATGTGTGCCGTCCTTCGCCACTGGATCATACACAAGGGCGAGATTCAGTCCTAGCAGGTCTCACCAGTATGCTCTGTGATAGGAGTGGCTGACTGAAGCTGCTACAGTTCTGATTTGGGGCCTGTCCTGCCTGGCTCCAAAATGTCACCCAGCCAGTTCCCTGCTCCTACGGGAGGACTAAGTTCCTCACACTCACAGAGAGCCAGCACAAATGTCTAAGTGGAGCATCATTCTCCATTCTGCCCCACACTACCACGTCCTCCCACCAGTGCCCTCAGGTTCACCAATCCCCAACTTCACCACTACCTGAGACTTCAGATTCCAGCAGCTTTTCCTACACAATGGGACCAGCTCCTCTGGTGAGAGTGCATCTGGTCACCATCCTCCTTCCATGAGTTTCTTTTCTTTCTTTTTTTTCCCCCCTTTTTCTCTCCTCTTTTCCATTTTCCCTTTAGTTTCTTCCTGGGTTGAGAGGATCCATCCCCTTTTGTCTGGTCTGCTCCAGGGTGTTTCATTCCAGTGTCTGAGCTGCTTCTCTCAGAGGCTCTCTATTTTGCTCCTTACTCATCCACCATCTTCCCAACAAATCCAGGTAATTATTCTTGCTCGTTGTTACTCTAAGGGTCCTCCCTATTTTTCTGCAGATAGTTACGTGTCCTT